ATTGACAAAAACTATTTGTTAGTTTCACCAATTCCCTGATTACCAAAAGGCATGTGAGCTGAAACAAGCTTTACAGATCCACCAGTTCCCAGCAGGTATTGCAAACGTCTTCCATTTGTTAATAGGCAAAATGAAAGAGCAAGGAGCAGGGTCAGTCTCTGCTGCAGCCCAGAGTTATGTCACTGTGGAAATCCCCACCTACGGGGATACGCATGACGGCCTCTTGGAACCAGATCTGTTTCCTGCACATCCAGCCTCCCAGCACATGTAAGCAGTTAGATTTCTCGTCATTACTGCATTTGAACTTTAAGAATTTGGAAACTGTCAACATAGAGCTCTCTGCTCCTGAATTAATTTTATTTCTTGCTCCAACAATCAAACTTCCTGCTTGTAAAGCTGAGATATAAACCTCCTTTTTACGTAAATTTGAATGAAGCGTAGTTCAGTAACAATAATCAATGTATTAAAATATAATCATACTCAGAGGAAGCTCCTCCCTTGCAAAAGGTATCAAGGTAAAATTGCAAAGCACCTTGATTATTTAAATATGGATATAAAACAAATCATAATTATATCCCTAATAACTGTGTGTGAGCCTAAGTATTAGCGAGATAGATTTCAATCACATATATTCAATATATTTATACTATTACTACAGATATCCAAGGAGACTCTACTCAAAAAAAACCATTACTTGAAATTAGAAGAAACTAAAATTGTAAAATATGGATCAATCAATTAAACTAGGAGAGTGGCCTGAACCATTTTTTAAAGTGGTTTGTTTATAGATATGTGATCCCACAATGAACAAAATTCTCTAGGAAAAAAGGATCAATACATGCCAGTGAGTCACATCAAGACAAAAATTTTCTTTGCATGTCCTCCACGGAAGCCCTCATTATAGAAGAGTACTGATATAAATGAAGACTATTTTTCAAAAATCTTAAACCTTCTACCTTCATACAGAATGATGTCCAAGCTGCTAATGCATCAAAAACCTTGAAAACACCTATTACTAATTCATTTTAATTCAAAACAGTCATGAGTGGCATACCAGAGAGACAGCAAGCTTTGTACCTGAGTAAAAAACCCTTAACCTCAAGGAGCTCAAAGTGAAAATACATCTCTGAGTGCTACCTATAATATAATGTGATATACTAGGCCAGCATTTTATGGGAATCCAGGTAAAAAGCCAAGATGAAAAGTCGGGAGCAAGGCATCCCGAGCGAGCCTTCAGTCTAAACCAGGAGGAGACATAAAAGTGTATGACCTGATGATATCTATGGTAATACAAGGATTAGACCACAGAATGCACAGAGGTAGTACAGTTGAATATAAACCTGCAAAGACTAATTGTGAAAAGCCTTGGACCCCATGGGAGATAGTTTAGAACTTTTCCAATGGGGAGACAGCCAAGGGATATTTTAGTGCAGGGAAGTGACGATTGGAATTGTGTTTTGGAAAGACAGTTCTGGTGGGAAAATCAGACTGGGTGGGGACAGAGACCTGACAAATAGAAGCCAGCTAGGGGGCCAATGTCACTGTTCAAATGAGAAATGACGGGGGCGAACCAGGGCAATAAAGTGAAAGGAGGTGTAATACTTAGGGGGTGTAAGGAGTGAGCACTGATAGAAACCAGAATGGATATGGAAGAGAAGAATCACCAAAGACAAGCAGGCCATTTCCAGCTTGAGTGACTAGATGGATGGGGAGGCTGTTAACTGACAGAGGAAATTTCAGAGGATAACATTTGGAAACTTCTGAAATTAGCCAGGATTTTTAAAACATCACTATATATGTTCATTGGAGAAAATGTTATGACATCCAAGTTAAATAAAAGTATGCCCAGGTTAGCTTTGGAATTAAGTAAACTTTGACATTTTCAATTCAAGCAAACATACCCTTCTCAGCTAAATCCACAGTCAAAACTCTACTTTCTACATGGTAACAGCTCACGAAGTTTCTTAGAATATACCTCTATGCTCTCATTTCTCTAGTTATTTCCTATGAATATCCTGTATTTGTAAATCAGACCTTCCCAAGCTCTAGAATTTAAATAGTACAAATATTTCGTACTGTTCTCAAATAACATGTATGTTTAGAGCTCATGTGCAGCACTCCAATTGTGCCACTAAAAAGTACCAGAAAAGGACTGTGTAAATGCATGTGGATGTAGAAAATAGAAGGAAAAGAAAGGCAACCTCTCCCCACAGTGTTAAAATTTGGTCCTCATAAATTTCCTGTAAGAGGAAGGAATTGGAGCAGGCAGGTGTAAAGATGAGTCAGACTGCAGACATGGCAGTTACCTGGAGAGCTGGAATGGTTTGGGAGATGTTTATAAAAGAGAGAACACAAGCTTAAGGGAATAGGATACATTACCTTCAACATCATGACTCAGGTAATTACGCACTTCGTTCAAAATGAAGTTGATGTCTTCTTCCGAAGGAATAGGATGGTGTGTAATATCAGTTGGAGTGTCGGTAGTGCCAGCTATAGTCATCTTTTGCCACGGTAAGAAGAAAATAACTCGCCCATCACTGGTCGCTGGGTCAAGAAGTCCCATGCTCTCTGGGCTGAGATAAAAGGAACATTTTTTTTATTTTTGAAATTAGTAAAAATTTAATCTTAATCTACAACCTATTTTATTCATCACATCTCATATAAACAAACAAGAACAACATGAGCTATCATTTTTACCGCCACTAAATTAACCTAAAAATTCCTTTAAAAACAAAATTGGCCCAGGCTGTGTGTCAGTTCTGTGGAACATCGTCCTATACACTAAAAGGTTGCAGGTTAAATTCCCATCCAGGGCACACACCTAAGTTGTGGGTTCAATCCCCAGTCAGTACATATATGGAAAGCAACCAATCAATCTCTCTCTCTCTCTCTCTCTCTCTCTTTCTCTCTCTCCCTACTCCCATCCCTCCCCCTTTCTCTGTAAAAATCAATTAAAAACATTCTCTGGTGAGGATAAAAAATAAATTTAAAAATTAAAAAAAAAACACACTTTGGTAACAAAAAGTAATGGAGCAAGTGTGATAATGCTAACATTCCACAGTAGAACCATCCCTTCCCATCTCAGAAATGCAAGGTTAATTATGAAAATGGACTTCAAGTTACAATTGTTTGGGATTTTATATTCCTTGGACAATTCACATGAGATAATGTCAGCGAGATAAATGTCTATAATTTCTTTTATGATGGTCAATTAAAGATAGCTCTTCAACTTTTTTTTAAAGTCTATGAAAAGTATTTTCCTGGGACATTTGACATTTGGCACATCTTTTAGTAGAAGGTCTCAGAAGCACATGAGAAAAGTGAAGGATCCACTTTCTAGAAACTAAAATGTAATCAAAAAGTTCTTCTTTTTACCTAGATCAGTGGTTCTCAACCTTTCTAATGCTGCGACCCTTTAATACAGTTCCTCATATTGTGGTGACCCCCAATTTCATTGTTACAAATTGAACATAATTAAAGCATAGTGATTAATCACAAAAACAATGTGTAATTATATATGTGTGTTTTACGATGGTCTTAGGCGACCCCTGTGAAAGGGCCGTTCGACCCCCAAAGGGGTCGCGACCCACAGGTTGAGAACCACTGACCTACATGACCTTGTACCACTTGACCAAATATGAGAAATCTCAAGCAGTACAGCCATAATAAAGGGGCTCAGTTTTCTACTACTAAAATAATAATGGACTAGGATAAGGCCAAAAAGGAAACGTGATGAAAATCTTTACACAGAGAGAAGGCACTAGTGCATCATGGTATGAAATCGAAGTTCAAGGATGCCTCTTCTGACAGATTACATAAAATCTTCCAAAATATTAATCAAGAATTTTCACTAACATGTGCTTATATTCTAAAACCAAATTAGAAAACACACTTGAAAGGATAGGCAACTATAAAAAAAATTAACAAAACCCCATCCAATAGTGTTATTAAATCACTAGAAACTATTATTTGAATGTATTCATTAACCATTCAAAGACATTTGGAGAAGTTGTTAAAGGAGTGGAAGGATCTGAAAGTATTTTATTCAAATAGGACACAACAAATCTTCAGAAGGCTGTTTCTATTTGACTGAATTCTCAAAGCAAGCCAGGGTTAACAGTATTTACCGGGAGCTATTTTCAGCCTCTATTAATGCAACTTCTGAAATAGGAAACACATTTCTATTTGGTTTAAATAAATTTTTAAGAAATCTCTCTCATACCCACAAACTTAAAAGGGCATATAGTCAACCTTTCATGTTTATCATTCCCTTTAAAATTTTTTTAATCCCAATTGATTCACATACATAAAGATTAGACAATAACAACTCCTAAAATAAAAATAAAATATTGTTTTGCCCTGGTCAGTGTTGTTCAGTTGGTTAGCACATCGTCCTGTACACTGAAAGGTGGTGGGTTCTATTCCCACTCAGGGCATACACCCAGGTTTTGGGTTTGATCCCCAGTCAGGGCTCATGCAGGAAGCAACCAATCAATGTTTCTCACATGTCATCTCTCTCTCTCTCTCTCTCTCTCTCTCTCTCTCTCTCTCTCTCTCTCTTTCTGTCTCTCTCCCATTCTCTTGTTCTCTCTAAAATCATTTTAAAAAAAAGTCTTATGAAAAGGAAATCCACAGTAAGCTTAGCTAATGCACTTTCTTTAAACCACAAGGAATACTAATCTTTCTTTGCAAAACCCATCAGCCTCATGATATGCCTGCTATGTCTATACAGCCTTTGGAGAAAGAAATCACTGTCTACAACCTACTTGAAAGACACAGGAGAGAGAGGGCCACAGTCCCCACTTAGCACATGCAAAAAGCACCACAGAAGTATGTCAGTCATTTAAAACTTCAACTAAGATTTCATCTTTACTCAGGGTTACTTAAAGAAAATATGTTTACTTTCATTTTTATATATTGAAAACTATAAGTCTGGAGTATTTTCAATCTCTGTATGACTATTTTTTTCTTTATTATAAGATTCTCTTAAAATCTTAAAAGAAATTAGTTAAGTGTGTGTTTTGTAAGCACCTAGTTTGATCCTGGGTTAATATGCCCTTACATTAAATCAGTCACTTTGGGATTGGAAATTTAACTCATTCAGAGTTCAAGTTTTCAATGTTATAAGTAGTACTATATTGAAACAAAAAGATAAATTCCAGATTCCAACAAATTATATATTGGCATATCTTATACATGGCCATCTTTATGGGCTGGATATCATGCAATACGCCTATATAACTCAATAAACCTCATCAACTTCAGCATAAAATTATAATATACAGCAACCTAGACATGAAATGCTGTTAGAAAAGCATAACTACTGAATCCTTTAAAACCTTCCAATGCAATAAAAGCAGTTTAAAGGGTGAAGGTGATGGTTACCAACACACGTAACTGGAACCTGTAGAGAATCAACTGCTTAAGTGAAGACATATGTGTCAAACATAAAATTAACAAGCACAGAGGGAAGACAAAGCTATTAATGTCTGGTATAAAAATTTAAGAATCCATTTGGAAATAGCTTTCATTAGTTCTAAATTACCTAATTCATGCTCTCCCTTAGGGAAAAGTTTGTTTTCTTATAAAGAATTAATTCTGCACCGTTACACTAAAGTCTGAAAATGGATATCAACTATGGATATCAACTATAACAGAGTGAAGCATAGGTCTTTTTCCATATGTATGATTCACTTGACATCAGGAGCAAAAAAGCTTCCTGCTAATTTGTGTGTGTGTGTGTAGGATTAAATGTAATGAACAATTTTCTCATGCAGACTATTGCCCTCCTGAAGTACTAGTACCTGTATTTAAACTGAAATCAATTTATTAATTAGTAGCAATCAGTGGTAGAGATAACAGCATGCAGACACTTATAGGAAAAAAAACTGACCTCTTGTCAGTGGTAAAAAACCTTTAGGCTATAAGGAGGAGATGCTTTCCATGCATTTCAGCCATTCCGTGTATTGTTGCTGCTTTCATAAGAGCATAGCCACAACTCTGACGAAAATTCCAGATTTCTTAAGTGAACTAAAAAGTACCTTTAAAAAGAAATGATTTCTGTGTGTTGGGTTTTCTGGCATTAAAATAATTTTTAAAAAGTTGTTACCATGGCCCAAGAGAACTCCACGCATGGAATGTTAGGGTCATGACAAGCTTAATAAATGCCATAAAGATACTCTGAAAACAACCCAACAAGATAGGCTTATGCATAGTCCTTGCTCTCCATTTAGTAGCCTATACACAAGGAGTCAGTGGCTAATGAGCTCACTGCATTTTCAAACTGAGCAGGTTCTAGTTGAAATGTTAGGTATTCAGTTATGATCAGGCTGTTTATAGGGCAGCCCCCATCCGTGGTTGGTAAACCATGACTCGCGAGTCACATGTGGCTCTTTGGCCCCTTGAATGTGGCTCTTCCACAAAATACCACATGCGGGTGCGCACGTACAGTGCGATTGAAACTTCGTGGCCCATGTGCAGAAGTCGGTATTTTGTGGAAGAGCCACACTCAAGGGGCCAAAGAGCCGCATGTGGCCCACGAGCCGCAGTTTGCCGAGCCACAGTTCGCCGACCACTGGATCCCTGAGGACCTAGTTAAAGCCTTGAGTTATATAATTGCTAGTGTGATTGGTTGATGAACCCAGGGAGATGTTTCCATCTGAGATCTCTTCACCCTACCCAAGAGAATGACTTGATATGGAGAGCAAAACTTTCTTCTGGATTGCCAGTATTACAGCTGCTCAAGGTCCGTGCCTTAAGAAGGAATAAACTCTTAATCCAAGTTGTATTCCCAAGCAAGAGGCTCATCTGCAATGGAGCTGGAAGGGAGCTGGGCTGTCGACCATGCCTCCAAGGTTTCCAGCAGGTTGTGTAGTAGTTGCAGGTCAAAGTGCTAACTAAACATGGGGATATTTATTTCTCCCAAAGTAAAATGAAAATGATTTTTTTAATCCTCACCTGAGGATATTTTTTCCATTGATTTTAGAAAGAATAGAAGAGAGGGCGGGGGTTGGAGGGCAAGAGAGAAAGAGAGATGCGAGGCATTATCAATTGGTTGTTTCCTGCACAACCAGGGTTGGGATCAAACCTACAACCCAGGTAGGTGCCCTTAACTGGGAATTAAGCCTGCGACCTCTCAGTATGTGAATGGACACTCTAACCAGCCAGGGCAATAGATGTTTTTATTTCATCTCTATCCCTAACCATTTCTCTGTTTCTGACTATCTGTGTTATTATGATGAATTAGAAATTATACCTGATTTTTACTTGCTATAATATTTTTTAAAATAATTTCAGAAGTTTTAAACATAAAAATACCTGAGTGGTCCTTATTTTCAAATTCTTCATAAGTAAATTTGGGTGTTTTATAATTAACTTTTTAATTAAAAAGTCCTTTATGAGCCCTAACTGGTTTGGGTCAATGCATAGAGTGTCGGCCTGTGAACTGAAAGGGCCCAGGTTCAATTCCAGTCAAGGGCACATGCCCGGGTTATGGGCTCGATCCCCAGTGGGGGACTTGCAAGAAGCAGCCGATCAATGATTCTCTCTCATCATGGATGTTTCTATCTCTCTCTCCCTCTTCCTTCCTCTCTGATATTAAAGTCCTTTATGAAAATTTTTGCAAAATTAAATTTTAATGTTTTAGTGAAAATTCTGAAACACTAAGGCTTAATCTCTGAAGATGACTACACTAATGAAAGTACACAAATGGATCCCAAATCATTAGCTCGTAGAAAGAGTATTACCATTAAAACTAAGAAATTGTATTTTGTCTTCTGGATGAATTCCTTTACTTATTTCTCCTCTTTTTTTTTAGTTGGCATACAATATTACATTAGTTTCTGGTGTACAACATAGAGATTAGACATATTTCTCCTCATTGGTTATTAAGAAAGGTGAGCTAAAAGACTAAATATAGACAATGCCTGTGCCCTTCATTCTCTGGCGACAATCACAGAGTGGGAATCCAGTACCTGTAGTAACCAGGCATCACAATATGGACCCCAGCACTCGGCTGGCAGATAGTTGCGGCGTCCTTATCATCCATTTGGCGCACGGCGTCTGTGAAAGGTCCCGTGGCATTGATAACACACTTGGCTCTCACATCAAATTCCTGTCCTGTGGAAGAAAGCAGCATCCATCACACACCCCATTTGTTTCTCTGCTCACGGGTGCTTTGGATTATTAATTCATCTATTAACTCCACCTATGGCAAAGTATCTCGTATACCGCACTAAGTGACATGAGCAGCCAGAGTTATTGAAAAGCCACACAAAAGGCTCGCACCTGAGTAAATGTTCCAAAGCCAAGTCCAAACTGAGGGAGTGGGGGGAGAGCATGCCGCTTTTTCATTTCAGCTCTCAGTTATTTTGCAAAATGCCCCGCATCCAAGTGCCAAATATGAAGAAAATGAGATGAGTAAAGAAGCTGCTTTCTCTTTAAAACTCAAATGTGTAAGCAGTGTTGCCGTGAGACAATATGTTTCCCATTGCTGGTTTTGTGTAAAGAAAGGATGCAGTTTTGAAAGGGTGCCTACATGGCCTTAGACTCAGGACAAGAATGAAAGTCTAACGAAAGCGAAGTGACTGACTCTAACGTGCAAATGCACTGTTTATGTCATGGAAAATGATACTTTGCAACTTGCACGTTTATTTTGTTTCAACATGTTTCTGCAAAGAAAACTAAATGCATTCATAGCTGTGGGGGTTTGTGGGCATTTATTATTTTCGCATTTTATTATCATCGCTATCAGAATCATTATTTGGGGTAAACTGCCAGGTCCCACAAGGGAAAATTTTCACGTGAAACCAGTCACTGTTGACAATAAGGATATAATTAAGATGGCTCTGAAATCTGCGTAAGTCAAATCAAAGTGACAGGAAAATTATAATTCCGTCATTATACAGGCAAGGCAAGATGCAAAGGAGAGCTCCCTGCCAGAGCCTTGGCATACCTGTGA